AATGTGCGATTTGCCATCACTCTCTGCCTTCTTCCGTTGGTGTAGCTGTGGAGCCAGGCTAGTAACCTTGAACACAGTTCAATGTCAGACAGAAGTTGCAGGAGCTTTGCGTGATCTACTCGATCAAAAGCTTTGGAGATATGAGCAAGTAACACCCATCACCATTGTTGGTTTTCTGGAGTCTGTAGCTGTCAGCCAGGAGTGTGTGGATTTCACAAGGGCGGGAGTAGTGCTGGACTTTAGGAGGAAGGCATACTGATTTGTGCACTCAGATAGAACTGTTGGCATGAGTTTTTTCATGATGAAGCTCTCCTGGATTTTTCCAAGGGCCTTCAGTCAATCATTGTACATGGGTTTGACACTTTTGATATGGGACACACATTGGCAATTTTACAGGCAGCAGGAACAGTCCCCTGCCAGTAGGAAGTGTTAACAACGTGTGTGATGACAGGGGCTAGATCTTCTGCATGCTCTTTTAGTAGCCCGGCTGGAATGCCATCAGGCCCAGACGCTTTACGTGGGCTGAGTCTGGTCAGAGCTTGCTTTACAGTCGGGGTATTGTAGTAATTCTTCAGATTTGTAATGATCAGATCGAGGATGGAGTCCCTTCTGGTCTTATCTTTGACCACTTGTTTCATGTCTGGATGGGAGTTTGTCAGCATCTTGATGGGAAGTCTCCACACAGGATGAGACCCATTTGGGGAGAGGAGATCCTGATCACATTGACAGTGTTTATGAGATAATCCACAGTGTTCTGCTAAAGTGTTTTCTCTTTCGCCCATGGTGGATGGTAGAGTACTCCCACTACCATAGTTGAAACTGAGCTGGGGAGTCATTTAGGATGAAGCGGAAGCCACATACAGTGCTTTCAAAAAGTATTCTGAACCCTTGACTTTTTCCACATTTTGTCACGTTACAGCCTTATTCTAAAATTGATGAAGTTATTTTTTTCCCTCATCAATCTACACACAATACTCCATATAGACAAAGCAAAAAAGGTTTATTATTTACATTTAAAAAAATCGTATTTACAAAAGTATTCATACCCTTTGCATCCTGTTTCCATTGATCATCCTTGAGATGTTTCTACATCTTGATTGGAGTCCACCTGTGGTAAATTCAATTGATTGGACATGACTTAGGAAGACACACACCTGTATATGTAAGGTCCCACGGTTGACAGTGTATGTCAGAGCAAAAACCAAGCCATGCGGTCAAAGGAATTGTCCGTAGAGCTCCGAGACAGGATTGTGTCGAGGCACAGATCTGGGGAAGGGTACCAAAATAATTCTGCAGCATTGAAGGTCCCCAAGAACACAGTGGCCTCCATCATTCTTAAATGGAAGATGTTTGGAACCACCAAGACTCTTCCTAGAGCTGTCCACCTGGCTAAACTGAGCAATCGGGGAAGAAAGGCCTTGGTCAGGGAGGTGACCAAGAACCCGATGGTCACTCTGACAGAGCTCCGGAGTTCTTCTGGGGAGATGGGAGAACCTTCCAGAAGGACAACCATCTCTGCAGCACTCCACCAATAAGGCCTTTATGGTAGAGTACATTTACATTTACATTTGTGTCATTTAGCAGACACTCTTATCCAGAGCGACTTACAAATTGGTGCATTCACCTTATGATAGCCAGTGGGACAACCACTTTACAATAGTTTTTTTGGGGTGGGGTAAGGGGGGGGGGGTAGAAGGATTACTTTATCCTATCCCAGGTATTCCTTAAAGAGGTGGGGTTTCAAGTGTCTCCGGAAGGTGGTGAGTGACTCCGCTGTCCTGGCGTCGTGAGGGAGCTTGTTCCACCATTGGATGCCAGAGCAGCGAACAGTTTTGACTGGGCTGAGTGGGAACTGTGCTTCCGCAGAGGTAGGGGAGCCAGCAGCAGTGTCTTGACTGTTTTCAGTTGCATTGGAACTCCATAAACCAGAGAATATTCCCGAAAAGATGATTAAATCCACTTTTTGCTTTGAATGAGGAGTTCCCTCACCATTTTAGTTGCCGGACATCTTGCATTTCCCAAATTATTTTGCTGGAATTAGTCATTTCTAAGCGACGTGGCCACGACCACATGTACTGTGAAGCCTGTCACATGCTTCCCAGTCTAAACAGTTTGCGCATATATTATGACAACATTTTGTGACGTTTTTGTTCAATTTGGTGTTCGGCAGGGGGTTTTTCCCGGCTGTTCGAGCACACACATTTTTTTCTTGAGACAAGTCAAAATTCAGTAGCTGACGTCTACACCCCTTCGGTGGTGATCGGTCAACAGAACTACTGCTAGTAGGAGCAATAACTATGGAAGGGATTCTTCAATTAAGTGTTTGTTGTCATTCAACAAGATATGACTAGTTTTCATGCAAATTCTTTCACAGAAAGACTGCACCAAACGTTTTAGTTAGATGTAAAATTGACCTCCTCGGCAAGACCTCCTAGGCAAAAACATCTAAATTAATGACAGATTTCATGCAGACACCTTTAGATGACAACGCATCACACAGCACGACCCAAACAACACAAACAAAGATCTACACACATGCGAGAGACATTTCTCACTCTGTACAATTAAATATCTTTCTGAATATTTCCTCGTTATCAGAGCTCCACCAGCAATTAGCCTTCCAAATCGAGAATTAATTAGTATTGCCAACTAAAGGTAGGTTGAAAATATCTCTACCATGCATATCACTTGCCACTAACGTTAGCGTCTATTCACGAAGGTATCTTCCGTCCGGGGGGGTTTTGTTAGCAGCTTCGATGCTCGGTCTGAAATGTTAATATGCTTCGCTTGCTGTACGGTTTTGGAAAAATTATCTTTCATATCAGCTAGAAAGAATAATACAATTTTGGTTAAATTACAACACACCGTATAGGGTTAGGGTTCCCATATGGCCATATTTCCATGTTACAGCGATTGTTTACGGAAGACTGAGGCGACCACTTGTGCTAATTAGCTATCTAGCGTGCTCCGAACACCTATGTGTAACGGAAGGAAGGATGCCAGAATAGCGTTGTAACTGAAAAATATAGTCAAATGCAACTGTGTTAAATAGTGTACAGTAAGTGTATATTTTGCATTTGTGAAATTGGTTTTACGTGATATGCAAGTAAAGGATTCATTTTTCTAGAACCATATTTGAGAATGTATTTACGTTTAGATGGAGTATTTGTTTTGGCTGCCAGAGCCAGTCTCCCTCTAAACATAACATATACAGCAAGGTCCTTGGAGGTTAAGGAGTAACGGTAGGCTCGCCTACACTCCTTAACAGTACATTTTTGGGCTATTGCCAAGCTAGAACCCTATGGAGGATATCCATCCATCCAAATACAGCCATGTTTATGTTTACTTTGTACTTTTTAAGTACTAATGTTATAGGACCAAAATACCAAAACATGTCATTTTAGCCTGTGGTGCCTGGCTGTTAGATCATTTGTTGAACTTGATTAATTATACATGCACTTGTACATATTCCATATTCCAAATTGTAAATAATATATATACAGTATTCTGTTTCATAATTAATGTGTGGATTTATTGAGTGCTTGGTTATTATACATCTGCAAAACAGCTAGTTTTTCTATGACCAGAGACCGTAAAAATAGCCAGTGTCCTTCTTTTGTACATTGCACATGTGCCTCCCCCTGCTAATTTATTCAAACCTCTTTGTGCTTGAGTGTTGTCTGTCCATCAGAATCACAGCAGGATAAGGCTCCATTATCATACTATCTCATGTGCTTAACTAGTGTCCAATTACTGATACAGACTGGACTGCCTCTATTGGTCTGAGAAAACCTATGCTTCCCTTTCTAAACCTTTATGGTGTCATGTTAGAAAGGTAGATTGAAAAACATCCATGTGATGGCAGAAAAAGATTTGCAGAGATCTGAGTACCCATGTATTGTATTTATTATTGGTTTGTGATTCTCTATTATCTTGCGGTCTCAATAAAAGTATCTGTAACCCTTACATTTATGTAAACGTTATTGCTATTCTCTATAGAAACACAGTGCCAATATAGAATAACATTTAATAGCCTCTCTGCCTTTTACTGACTGTAATTATTTGTATTATTTGTGTGATTTAATTTATGTTTCTGAAATTCCTTGGTTGAGCTGTGTTTGTGTTTTCATTGGTTTGCATTGCATGTCAAGCACATCAGATAAAAGTTGGAATGACGTTCTCAGCCTGGTGACCACATTGTTCCATTTACAGCCTTGTAGGCCTATATCCTAACAATAGTCCTTAATTAAATTTCAGCCTTGATGCTGTATGTCACAATCAGGCTAGGCTGAGAGTGAACAGGATGTTGTGCCAAATTTACCTCTGTGAGATATCTGTACCAGTGAGACAGTCTCAGTGTAGTGTAGGATGTACTTTGACAATCATGTTCTCCTAGTCCCTCTTACAATGGAAGTGCATTGATGTACATTCTTTATCATCTCAGTTTAATTAGTTCCTTTCAAACAGTAATCAGTACAATACTGTGTTGAACATCTGTGTCACTTCTATCAATAAATAATACTGATGATAATTCACAAAATATACATCCAGTGGTTTGACACTTAGGCAGACTCAGCCATACGGTTACCACAAAGAGTGGGGCGACTTCCGACAAAAATAAAGACTGTGTGACGCAGGAGGCTGCACTCCTCAGCATTTGTTGCCATGCAGCTACTATATCACGTTGCAGGAGAGAGATGTGAAGTCCCATACACATGCAGATGCCAGCCAGTATCTGTGTGGGTGCTGACGAGGGCATCCTCTTGCCTCACACTCTCTGCAATATCTCTGGCCACAGTGATGCTTGTGATCAAAAAAGTTAAATACAAATAAATCACGTCATATCGATGAGTCTCAGAGGTTGTTGTGGAGACTTGCAACATCCTATGTAGGACTTGTCACATGCAGAACGAATGCCTTAATTTAACTATAGTACTGGGAAACTGCTGAAGAGGAATAACCACTTTGTAGGCTACTGTCAATTGAACATTATGGGACGGTTTCCTGGACACAGATTAAGCCTCGTCTTGAATCTCCATCAAAAATAATTTTTGGTCCAAGACTAGGCTTAATCTGTTTCTGGGAAATCAACCCTATGGGTAACGTAACAAAAGCTTAAAGCCTGCTTTACACAGTCATAGAGAATTACAGTGATTTTAGTAGTCAGACCTGACCCCAATTCTGTCATATTGTGCAGCAATATGTTAGCCAACTTGATAACCTTTAAAAAGCTGCACCTGCCAAGGCAGCAATGGATCATCTGTTTTCTGGCCAGATATAACAAATTATATGTTTAATATGATTGTTTAATTACCCTGTTATAACAGTTGATTATATTGTTTTATTATTCTCTGTGCATTTCTCCCTCAAATTTCTGTGGCGATCATATCCTCATAGTGAAACCCTGAGCTGTGGATGTCCACGTCGAGCTCCGACCGACTCTCCAGCTCCACTGTGAGCTCCAGCAGGATTCTCTCCAAGTCTTGGTTCTTCTTGTGCATCTGCAGATAGTTGAGCTGAAGCTGGTTCTGGTACTTGATGACTCTGTCCTTCTCCTTGTTCCACGTCTGTCTCTCATGCTCAAAGCTGTTCGACAGCCTCTCCTGAATCTCTCTCTCTTCCCTGAGCTCTCCTTTCAGTCTCTCCACCTCTCCCTGGAGGGAGTAAGTGCTCATGCACCCTTCACTCCCCCCACTCTGGTCTGACCTCTGCTGGGCCTGGGCCTGGGCCTCCAGTTTGGCCTTCTGCTGCTGCTTCTGTTCTTTTGCAAGGGCCAGATCCTTTTTCATTCCTTTGATGTCTGTCTCCAGTATGCCCACCTTTGTTCTTAGAAGATCAGCCTCGTTCTTCTTGCGCTGGAGCTCATTGTGGCATACCTGGGGTGGAATAGATTAATTGTGTCATTATAAAATGCACTTTGCTGTTGAACATGGAGGCCAAGTACAGTCGTGGTCAAAAGTTTTGAGAATGACACAAATATTAATTTTCACAAAGTCTGCTGCCTCAGTTTTTATGATGGTAATTTGCATATACTCCAGAATGTTATGAAGAGTGATCAGATTAATTGCAATTAATTGTAAAGTCCCTCTTTGCCATGAAAATGAACTTAATCCCCAAAACATTTCCACTGCATTTCAGCCCTGTCACAAAAGGACCAGCTGACATCATGTCAGTGATTCTCTCGTTAACACAGGTGAGAGTGTTGATGAGGACACGGCTGGAGATCACTCTGTCATGCTGATTGAGTTAGAATAACAGACTGGAAGCTTTAAAAGGAGGGAGGTGCTTGAAATCATTGTTCTTCCTCTGTTAACCATGGTTACCTGCAAGGAAACACGTGTCGTAATCATTGCTTTGCACAAAAAGGGCTTCATTGGCAAGGATATTGCTGCTAGTAAGATTGCACCTAAATCAACCATTTATCAGATCATCAAGAACTTCAAGGAGAGAGGTTCAATTGTTGTGAAGAAGGCTTCAGGGCGCCCAAGAAAGTCCAGCAAGCGCCAGGACCGTCTCCTAAAGTTGATTCAGCTGCGGAATCGGGGCACCACCAGTGCAGAGCTTGCTCAGGAATGGCAGCAGGCAGGTGTGAGTGCATCTGCACGCACAGTGAGGCGAAGACTTTTGGAGGATGGCCTAGTGTCAAGAAGGGCAGTGAGGAAGCCACTTCTCTCCAGGAAAAACATCAAGGACAGACTGATATTCTGCAAAAGGTACAGGGATTGGACTCCTGAGGACTGGGGTAAAGTAATTTTCTCTGATGAATCCCCTTTCCGATGGTTTGGGGCATCCGGAAAAAAGCTTGTCCGGAGAAAACAAGGTGAGCGCTACCATCAGTCCTGTGTCATGCCAACAGTAAAGCATCCTGAGACCATTAATGTGTGGGGTTGCTTCTCAGCCAAGGGAGTGGGCTCACTCACAATTTTGCCTATGAACACAGCCATGAATAAAGAATGGTACCAACACATCCTCAGAGAGCAACTTCTCCCAACCATCCAAGAACAGTTTGGTGACGACCAATGCCTTTTCCAGCATGATGGAGCACCTTGCCATAAGGCAAAAGTGATAAGTAAGTGGCTCGGGGAACAAAACATCAACATTTTGGGTCCATGGCCAGGAAACTCCCCAGACCTTAATCCCATTGAGAACTTGTGGTCGATCCTCAAGAGGCAGGTGGACAAACAAAAACACACCAATTCTGACAAACTCCAAGCATTGATTATGCAAGTCAGGATGTGGCACAGAAGTTAATTGACACTTATGGAACGCTTGTAATTATACTTCAGTATACCATAGTAACGTCTGACAAAAATATCCAAAAACACTGAAGCAGCAAACTTTGTGAAGACCAATACTTGTTTCATTCTCAAAACTTTTGACCACGACTGTAGATAATGACCTAGATTCAGCATTGTCACTCACACTTAAATGCTCACCACTAGTGTAGCGTCCGCACTTTACTAAAGAAATCTATTCTGTATGCATATCATACTATCTCTAATTTTATTTTAACAAAAGAGACCCAATACCTCGACCTCCACACTGTGAGAGCGTATCTTGTCCTCTTGTTCTTTGTTCTGCTGCTCTAATGCCTCCATTTTGGCCCGAGTCTCCTTCAGCAAGGCCTTGAGGCTGACGATGTCATTCAGCTTGTGAGTGACATCAGCCTGGGAGTCCCTGAGCTGCTGCTTCAACAGGGAGATCTCCCCAGTCTTTTGACATACCTAGTAAAGAATGCAAAAAGTAAAAATTGCAATTGAATTACTGGCTGCTTTCGAGAAATTTTAGAAATTACATACTCTCTGGCCTGTGCAAACCCTGTGCAATGTGCTCAGTACCTATAACTAGTTTTTTCTAGTGACTTGACCAGGAAATACTTTTGGCCCACTCAGTCACAACTAGGGTCCTGATTTTCATGGTAAGGCCATGTGGTCAGGAAAAATGTATAACACATGCTGGCCACACTCACCTCCCACTGGGTCTCCTCTAAGGTGGGCTCTAGCTGGGTTTTCTCCCTCTCAAATGACCTCAGTTTGACCTCTGTCAGGTCCTTCTCCTGGGTCATCCTGGCCAGATCATCCTGGAGCTTCTGCTTGTCCTGTTGCAGCTGACTGACCTGCAGCTGCAAGGCCTGGTGGTTCCTCACGGCCCTCTGCGAGACCTGCCTGAGCTTGGTGGAGCACCGCTGCTTCAGGCCCTCCATCTCCTCAACACAATACCTCTGCCTCTCCTCAAACAGCTGGCAAGTGTCCACCTCTTTCTCCTCAAAGCTCACCTGCAGCTCCTGCAGCTCTGTCTCACTCTCCAGCAGCCTCTGCTCCAGCAGCTCAATTAGGGACTCGTCCATTGAGATGGGAGAGCGATTACAGCCTCCCATCTCCTCCAATAGAGGAATAGGCTGCTGAGTGGACAGTATGGAGATGGAATCCCTGTTAGCCTTCACTGCCCCACCATTACTTAGAGCTGCGACCCTAGCACTGGCAATAATGCCATTCCCATTGGTCCATGTAGAGCGGGGGGGCTGCAGGGGATGGGTCATGCCATGGGCTGAGCCTCCTGCACACTGAGACAATGGGCCTGTGGAAGCACTGAGGCTTCCATTGGTGCTGTGAGTAGGCAGGCTGGACATTGAATCCTGCCCAGAGTCTGAGAGTGTCCCTGAAAAGGTGTCCTGTTTGGGCCCCTGGGAGTCTCTGGTCCTTTCTGGGGGAATAAGCAGGTGGGTGAGATTGTCGCGAGTCTCTGTGGAAGAGGTGCTCCTAGGGATGACTGGCTTGAAGGCTGTGGGCCGGATCAAAGCTTTCTCAATATTCTAGAGACGGAAGGAGAGCAAATAGTCGATCAGAGAACCTGTTGGTTTTGGTTTTCAACCTTCATTTTAGCAATGGAGATGATCATGTAAGCAAATAGTGCTACCAATGAATAATCAATTATTTAGTGCTGACGAGAACAGATAACCACCCAGAAATTGGAGATTTGTACATGTAAAAGTGCAATGTAAGAATATACAGAATACATGAAACTGTCATGAAAGATGTGAAACATGAGTTTATTCCACATGTCCCATCTGTGCTGTCTGGAAACACCACCAGTTTTACCCAACCTCCTACTCCACCCTGTTGTACTGTCTGAGAAAATATGAATAGTCCTACTCTGTGATATTAATAATGTGTTGCGCTGTTGAAGTGGGAGTGGTAATCTTGTGGACTCAGCATTCCTGTCCAGTGACTTCATCCCTGGAAAGCACTTTTTCTACTGGGGCATAAAGGCCTATTCAGAGAGCAGGGTTTGGAGAAGAACATCACTGATGACATCTTACAAAAGATCAAGGCATTGCAATCTGCAATATTTAATATGATTTTAATTAATAAAAATAGCCTACACATTCATTCTTGAAGAATATCACTTATAATGCCTCATAAGCTTAGTACAACTGTCCAACCCAATCATTAGGTTGTATAAGGTTATTTTACACCATTGTTTGTTTCTGCTGTCATTTTAGTCTTTCTAAACTAATAATGTATAGCTTAAAAATATGTTTAAAATTATAATTTAAATCTCTTGGACTGTCAGTCCTTGCATCGAGCTCTGTGTATGACTTTGAGTGTGGTTACATGCATCTGCAGTTAGGCTGAAAACCAAACTCAAAATGATTGCTTAAGTCATCAACCTTGGAGATGGTTAAAAAGACTGGACATGTGACGAGGTGTGAAAGAAGGAGTCAGGTGCAGGAGGTAAAATACCGAAGTCCAGAGTTTAATCCGTTTGCATAAATCAAACGCCCCAAGCGTCAAACTACACTGTACAAGGGAAAACATCCACCTTGGCAATAACACAGTGAAATGTAGCTCAACCGAGCTACACGCTCTCACAACAAAACAATCACTCACAAAGACAAGGGGAACAGAGGGAACATTTATACACATACTAATTAGGGGAATGAGCGCCAGGTGTGTGTGATTGACAAGACATGACAAGTGGAGTGATGAGAATGGGATCGGCAGTAGCTAGTACTCCGGTTACGACGAACGCCGAAGCCTGCCCGAACCAGGAGGTGGGGCAGGCTCGGCGGAATCGTGACAGGACAACACAAAGCTTGGTGTTTCAACAGGGGTAATGTTTTTGTTTGCTATCTACTGTGCTTGTCTGATCTTGAAGTTGTGTTTGAAATTGTCTTCCTGGCTGTCAATTGTACAACACAGAAATATTGACACAGACAAGTATGTTGAGCAAGTATGTTGAGCAAGTCAGAGACTCACCTTCTCCAGTTTCCCAGATGTAGGCAGCAATTTAGGTGGCACTCTACTGTCTGGTTCCATATCAGTACAATGTCCCTCTCCTAAATGGTCCTCTGCTGGGATGCCTCTGTGGTGAGTCATCCACGGCTTGTGGCTCACTTTTATGTAAAAGAAGTCCTCACTCCTGCCTGCCTGAGAGATCGCTTTAGGTGTGTGGTTGGAGGATCCCTGTGCAAAGCTGTACTTCAGTAGACCATCCAGGCTCCGGCCTGTCTTCCGGTGATGGCCCGCTTTCTTTAATTTGTACTCTGTGGCCTGACAGTGCTTGCTGTGAAGACTGTGACCTGAGATGAGGCTGCCGACGCTTCCCATGGTCTCTGAGCATAGGGGAGGGCAGAAGGAATGTCCTGACAACTTTAACGTATGCTGTTGAAGAGGTACTTGTAGTGGGGGATAAACTCATGACCCCAGGGAGATATTGTCAATGTTTCGATCTGAAGGGAAGAAATTGAGATTTAAATTGAGATTTTTTGTTGTCGTTGAATTTTGTAAATGCTACTTTTCTCACTATTACTTTCGCAACAAACCATATTGTAGACGTACCCTCTTTTCATCATCCCTGCCCTGGGAGACACAAGGTCCCAGATGTTTCTAGCCATGATCTCTAACCCTCTAGGGAACAGACTTAGTGCCTTTCAGTTGTCACTAGTTACTAAGTATCAGAGGTCTCCAAAGTGAATGATATTACCCATGGGCTCCCCAGCCACCTGGTGTCCTTTCTTTAAGCATAATGTCGACAGGAACAAAAGCATGGCGCAACGGGCCAACTATAATAGTCACATTAAGTAGTACGTATCTGACAGCTAATCCGTTGCAAATCATTCTTTCCACGGTGTGGCTGGCCTAGAAGACATGCATTGCTGTCACTGTTAGTGTTATTTTTTTATTAGAGCATGGTGTAAGTGCTGTTGTTTTGAATTAATAAGGAGTGTTAGTATTGCACTGTTTGTCTCTCAGGACGAGATGAAAAGACTGACAAAACATGCACCAAGTAAGAACTCTTCTGCTCACCTTATCTTTTCATAGAAAATGCAATAATAGCTATGTGGACATGGACTAGAATCACAATGGACGAAACAGAATACAGCCTCTTGGCCACTATCCAATACAGCATGTCAGAAACAAACAAATATTTAGCTTCGTTCAGGAGGAGGATACATTCTACGTGTTTATACTGTTTGACATGGTACTGTTTGGCATGATACCTCTCACAATTTTCCTCAAATAATAGCTAATTATTGTTTTGATTTGTACCAGTTCAAGTACAGAACAAATGCCAGATGCCATATGTAAACAATCTTTGACATCATTCTCTCCCCCCCACCCCCCGCCTATCTGTCTGTCTGACAGTTGTATCTCACCTCATTCTTTCACAATCCCTCTCAAATTCTAGAATTCACCACCAAAATTAATCACAAGACTAGAAAATATTCACATTGACTTACTGCCATGGCAAAGCATCCATCTACAGACTAACGTGCAGCAATCCCTTCAGTCCTGGAAATACCATGTAGCCGTGTGTGTCTGAGTGTGTGTGTCCTGAATAAACCATTCATGCAGTGAACACACCACCACTATCACCAGCCAAGAGGGTACCATTCTGAGGGGGTGGGTCTTTCTTTGCTTTATTCAGAGGCGGCCTGCCTTTGCATAACTGACATGTAAATTCAGCTAGACGGGAGATTGGACCTTGGAAGCCCCCCAGGGAATGGGGTGTACAGCATGTGCTCCTTTTACACTGGCACACTGCGCTCAAGTGATTAACTCCTTTTCTTCACAATAGATTCTTTAAACCCCCTGTACACCCCCAAAACTCCCTCCGCCCCCTTTCCTCCATCAACTGACTGCGTAATACCCCCTTCCCTTCCCTGTTCCTCCCACACTGCCCTGCACCCACTCTGAACAAACACCTCTCTGGCTGAAGAGAAATAACCCCTCTTTCTCTTTATCTGCTGAAGTGTGCCAGTCTTTGTGTGGACTTTTGTCTGGTAGTTGATTTATTCCTACTGAACTGCAAACACCATATTTGAGTGTTAAATAAACGGCTACACTTTAGAATAAGGGGCAAATTGTGCAGTAAGAGTGATTTACTGCTGAGGGCTTTGAGCAGCTTTTGAGCGGCTTTGAGTTGCTCTTAGTGCTGCTGTATCAGTTTCAGCTTGCCCACTTTCTCAGCCTCTCTAGGAATATACTGTAGAAGTAAACCCTTGTTTTAGGCAAGCAGCCTAAATTGATACAATCTTTTAACATACAAACATGAATTGATCAACTTTTTTTGGTTGATCAAAGGAATATTTTGTACAATGTTTACAAATGGAACATGATTGATTTTAAGAAGATCCATTGCTTTCTAAATAAATCAATTTGTTGAGTTTCAACTCCTGATGAACAACAGGGCACAACTGTATTGGCAGAAATATTTCCCCCAAAATCTATCGCTTTCCTTTTAGTCTATAATAGATATCCAAGATGATGTACAGTGGGGCAAAAAAGTATTTAGTCAGCCACTATTTGTGCAAGTTCTCCCACTTAAAAAGATGAGAGAGGCCTGTAATTTTCATCATAGGTACACGTCAACTATGAAAGACAAATTGAGAAAAAAAAATCCAGAAAATCACATTGTAGGATTTTTTATGAATTTATTTGCAAATTATGGTGGAAAATAAGTATTTGGTCACCTACAAAGAAGCAAGATTTCTGGCTCTCACAGACCTGTAACTTCTTCTTTAAGAGGCTCCTCTGTCCTCCACTCGTTACCTGTATTAATGGCATCTGTTTGAACTTGTTATCAGTATAAAAGACACCTGTCCACAACCTCAAACAGTCACACTCCAAACTCCACTATGGCCAAGACCAAAGAGCTGACAAAGGACACCAGAAACAAAATTGTAGACCTGCACCAGGCTGGGAAGACTGAATCTGCAATAGGTAAGCAGCTTGGTTTGAAGAAATCAACTGTGGGAGCAATTATTAGGAAATGGAAGACATACAAGACCACTGATAATCTCCCTCGATCTGGGGCTCCACGCAAGATCTCACCCCGTAGGGTCAAAATTATCACAAGAACGGTGAGCAAAAATCCCAGAACCACACGGGGGGACCTAGTGAATGACCTGCAGAGAGCTGGGACCAAAGTAACAAAGCCTACCATCAGTAACACACTACGCCGCCAGGGACTCAAATCCTGCAGTGCAGACGTGTCCGCCTGCTTAAGCCAGTAAATGTCCAGGCCTGTCTGAAGTTTGCTAGAGTGCATTTGGATGATCCAGAAGAGGATTGGGAGAATGTCATATGGTCAGATGAAACCAAAATAGAACTTTTTGGTAAAAACTCAACTCGTCGTGTTTGGTGGACAAAGAATGCTGAGTTGCATCCAAAGAACACCATACCTACTGTGAAGTATGGGGGTGGAAACATCATGCTTTGGGGCTGTTTTTCTGCAAAGGGACCAGGACGACTGATCCGTGTAAAGGAACGAATGAATGGGGCCATGTATCGTGAGATTTTGAGTGAAAACCTCCTTCCATCAGCAAGGGCATTGAAGATGAAACGTGGCTGGGTCTTTCAGCATGACAATGATCCCAAACACACTGCCCGGGCAATGAAGGAGTGGCTTCGTAAGAAGCATTTCAAGGTCCTGGAGTGGCCTAGCCAGTCTCCTGATCTCAACCCCATAGAAAATCTTTGGAGGGAGTTGAAAGTCTGTGTTGCCCAGCGACAGCCCCAAAACATCACTGCTCTAGAGGAGATCTGCATGGAGGAATGGGCCAAAATACCAGCAACAGTGTGTGAAAACCTTGTGAAGACTTACAGAAAACGTTTGACCTGTGTCATTGCCAACAAAGGGTATATAACAAAGTATTGAGAAACTTTTGTTATTGACCAAATACTTATTTTCCACCATAATTTGCAAATAAATTCATTAAAAATCCTACAATGTGATTTTCTGGATTTTTTTTTCTCATTGTGTCTGTCATAGTTGACGTGTACCTATGATGAAAATTACAGGCCTCTCTCATCTTTTTAAGTGGGAGAACTTGCACAATTGGTGGCTGACTAAATACTTTTTTTACCCACTGTATGTGAGCTGTCCTTACTACACCCTATCAGAGGCTCTTCTTGTATTTAGGAAGATTTTGTAATTTCATCAAGATTACATAATTGAAATGTATTATACAAATCCATCTGACCCTCAGGCCTTCTAGGGTCACCATGATGTAAGGCCTTCAGTCACTGGAGAACGATTGGGGGTATTTGGGGCGACACTGAGAATGGGGTTTGGGGGAGTGATCTGTTAGCGTGAGTGTGTGCATAGTGAGGGGGAGGGTTTGAAACATGTGCCCCACCAAGCCACAGCTGACCTGCCTGACACAAAGGCCTGCCACACAGTGGACCAGCTGACACTCAGACACACAGTGACGCGTAGCCAATCCATTACCTCATAGAGGCGAGAGCAGGGCCATACAGGACAGGATGTATACCTGTCCCACAATGAACAAGCTGCTCTGCTGTACTGTACCTCTTTAGCAGGGGTTCCCAACCTAGGGGGTCCTGTTTCGTGGGGACCTCTGTTAAAGAGGTACAGTACAGCAATTAGCGATTGTTTATACTGATCTAAAACGACTCCTAAATGCGTAATGCTTTAGGCTAGACACAAGCGATAAAATGCCAGATGAAGTCGCGACTCTAGTGCACATGGGAATATATTTGGTTTGTCTCTATGACATTCAGAAGCTGAGCTATGACCTAGTCAAGGAGTCAAAGAAATTGGAAGTAATCTTCCACAATGTGTGACTCTGTCACTATCAATTGATCAAATCACTTTCTGTGAAATAGAATATGTATAATTAAATTGATGGTTCATATAAATTATCATAATAAAACATATTTGGTAGCAGAATAACAGGGGGGGGTCATGCAATTTTGTGTCACACAGCCCAGTGTTATTTTCAGTAGAAATATGGTTAGGCTTCCTCGTGGTGCGTAAACTGCGAATAGATGGACTGAAGAGACATAATTATAAAGCGTTTTTAGCCTTAAGTCCTTGCAGTCATGACAGTATTCAGACCCCTTGACTTTTTCCACATTTTGTTACATTACAGCCTTATTCTAAAATCCAATCTACATACAATACCCCATAACGACAAAGAGAAAACAGGTTTTTAGAAAATACCTTATTTACATAAGTATTCAGACCCTTTGCTATGAAACTAGAAATTGAGCTCAGGTGAATCCTGTTTCCATTGATCGTCTTTGAGATGTTTCTACATCTTGATTGGAGTCCACCTGTGGTAAATTCAATTGATTGGACATGATTTGGAAAGGCACACAACTGTCTATATAAGGTCCCACAGTCAGAGCAAAAACCAAGCCATGAGGTCGAAGGAATTGTCCATAGAGCTCCTAGACAGGATTGTGTCGAGGTACAGACCTGGG